ATCAATGCAGGGCTTGAGGCATAAGAATGGTTTCAGATACTTGGCCATCAGGACTAATTGTGGGGCATGAGACACCGAAACAAAAGATGTTTTGCAACTCAAGGCAATGTTAGTACGTCCTTGCTGGGAGGTTCACTCGTGAGGTAATAGACGGTTTAAATAAAATTGGCATGTGCTGGCACTAGCATATAGAGGTAAAAAAGAGAAATATAGTGAATAGTGAGTGTTGGACAATGCGGGAGAAGGTACAAGTCCCATAGAATATAATAGCTGACTAAGAACAACTATTGAGAATGTAATGATATTATTATAATGCATGTATGTAAATGCAGAGTGTGGTGAACAATGTCAGTGAACTACAAGCATAATAGTCATGTGGAAATATGATATAGTGAGACATGGATTAAAAATAGTTCAGAACTTGATGTTAATACTTACAGAAAGCTCAGGGCAAACAGAGAAGGAATACAGGGGAGTGGGGTTGTACTGTTGGAAAGAGGGGCTCGCTTTGACAGAGCAAGGGCAAAATCCATTCAATTAGAGGTGTGAAGCAAGAAATATGTGTTTAGGCTGCAGCAGTATGAGACAGATAAAGATCAAATCTACAGGGAGATTAAAGAGACAGAGCTACAGAGTGGTGCTATTGAGGACTAATGACCCAACCATTGATTGGCATTATGTCAGAGTAAAGGATATGAAGATGAATGATTTTCCAAAATGTATTTATGAAAACCACCTTGATCAGCACTGATCCAACTAGAAAAAAAGTTTCTTGATAGACAATGCAATCAAAGATTATCAATGATTGATTAAAATGCGGAAATTAAAACACAGACGTATTAGACATGATCATGAATAGATTAATAACTGAGCAGGTTTGTGGGGGCCAATGACATACCTGTGCTCTGTGTTCTGAGGAAGGGTCACTGAACCTGAAACACTCAGTCTGATTTCTCTTCACAGATGCTGCCAGATCAGCTGATCTTTTCCAGCAATTCCTGTTTTGTTAATTCTGCCCTTTTTTTATGTTCATATGACCATAAGGCTTTGCAGAATGTGTTGATTAGGAATGAGGTGGGGTAAGTTGAAGAAGTGTTTGTAGCAGAACACTCGGATAAGAGTGACCATTGTATCATAAGTCTGGACAAGCAATAAGGAAGAGCAAAGAGCAATGTTAAATCAAATTTCTATGTTTGTAAATGGCCAAGGCTAATGGGTTAAGAGAGGATCTATGCAGTGTCAAACAGTAAAAACAGTTACAGAACAATGGGTGAGATAAGGAGGAGATGTTTAAGTATAGGCTGGATACAAAATAAGAAGAGGAAAAGGTAGGGGAGCTAAAAGCAAGTTGTTTTGGGTGACAAGCAAGCTGGAGAATATGACGAGACAAAAACAAAGGGTATACGATTGGAAATTCGGTGAATTCTTCATGCAAGAACCAAGCACAATCAGTAAGTTGAGACAGGAAATGAAGAGGAAAATAAGACCAGCAAACAGAGAACAGGAAAACAGAATTGCAGTTCGTAAGTGGGAACATAAACTTCTCAAGAGTACATAATAACTCAGTGTTTAGAGGCGAGGTGAGGCCTGTGGAGACAATGAAATGATACATGCTTAGATAGCGGGGCAATCCAGAATATTTACTGGGTATTTTGTGCTGGTGCTAGATAAGGAAAAGAATGTTGCCAAAATGTGAGTCGTGGAAATGATTAAGGTAATAGAAGGGATGCTAATTGAGAGGTAAAATGTGATGGAAAGGCTGCCTGGAAAGGCTGCCTAGAAAGGCTGGCTCCAGTAACCCAAAACTGATCATTAAGCTCCAAGTTTATGAGTTACTTATTTGATTTGATAATATACCACATCCAAAGATGTGCAGGCTGGGTGGATTGGCCATGCTAAATTGCCCAAAGCGTTCAGGAATGTATAGGAGGATGGGTCTGGTTGGGATGGTCTGAGGGTTGGTGTGGACTTGTTGGGCCGAAGAGACTGTTTCAACACTGTAGGGATTCTTAAAAAAACCCACTTGTTTATTCCATTGAAGTTCATCATAACTAATTTCTAAAATTACCAAGTTCTGTAGAGCCTGGATTGTTTTGTTTATGAAACTGGAAATTGACACACATCACTGCTTACGAAAAATTGCAACACCCAGTGATACTTTTGAACAGGTAGTTAACAAGTGGTAAGAATTTGAAGGAAATGAAAGGAGTGAAGTTGTGCATTGCTTGTGGTGAGATTACATCACTGATGCAGAATGTGAGCTGTTTTGCCTGATGTATATAAATGTTGAATAGAAACAGACAGCAGGCAGAGAGAAGAGCAGAATTGAAGTGTCTACCAACCTCTCTAAACAGGCAAAATGAAAATAATTTTCTTCATATTTGCAGTAGGCCAGATCCTCTACTATTCTGGCAAGTATTGAAATATGTTAAGGAATGATTTTGCTGTGTAAATTGTTGTTGTGAGCATTGGATATTAACCCAAATGACTATCAGTCAAAAATGTATTCATTTTTAAATCCCTTTGCTTTTAGATTCTGAGACTCCATGTGATCAGTCTGACAATTCACTAGCACCTCATGCAGTAAATGCTACAATTACAAAAGTGAATCAATTGTTCGCAATGAATAACCTCCTTCGTATTGTGAGCTGTCAAGAAATAACTGTAAGTGTCATCAAATCCAATTGATTTCTTTTTGCTTTTTCTTCATAATGAACATTAGTTTTATACATTTTAAGGAATATGCTACAATTTTACGGTGAGAAATCATGTCACAGTCAAGAGATGGACAATAAATTGTAGCATTTCAGATTGGAATTGTTTGGCTTAGATCGGTATCTTATTTAAAGCAAATGTATGATTGTGTTTTTTTGTCCAACTATATCGTTTTCCCTTGTCACCACCTAATTGCTCATTGAGTAAAGGAGTTGAAATGTCATGTTGAGATTGTACAGGACGTTGGTGAGGCCACAATTGGAGTACTGTGTACAGTTCTGGTCACCCTGCTGTCAGAAGAATATTATTAAATTGGGGAGGGTTCAGAAAAGATTTGCCCAGATGTTACCAGGACTGGAGGATTTGAGTTATAAGGAGACAATGGATAAGCTGGGACTTCTATCACTGGAGGGGTGATGTTATAGAGGTTTATAAAATCATGACGGGCATAGAGAAGGTGAATGTCAAAGGTCTTCACCGAGGGCAGGGGAGCTCAAAACTAGGGGGCATATTTTTAAAGTGAAAGGAGAAAGATTTAAAAGGAATCTGATGGGTAACCTTTTCACACAGAGTTCATATGGAAAATGGGAAGTGGTAGATGCTGGTTTAGTTACAACATTTAAAAGACATTTGGACAAATACATGAATAGGAAAGGTTCAGAGGGATATGGGTCAAACGCAGGCAAGTGGGACTAGTTTAGTTTGGGAAGCTTGGTTGCCATCGACGAGTTGGACCAAAGGGTCTGTTTTCGTGCAAAGTGAGTCAATGTTTCTTTCTAACTTCAACCAGGTCTTTGAGAAATTGGAAAAAAATTTCCAACTTTGGGTGTTTACCTCACCAAACGAACAAAAAAAAAACCCTGATCCTTCTAATTGAAAGCAAGCTAATGTCCGTCAGTGTTTACTCTGTCCACTTGCAAAACTCTCCCAATGCAAACAATGTCCCATTACCACTCCAGCAGGTCCCTGTCTCTCATACTCATTTAAAAACAACATACTTCCAAAATACTGACAGTTAAACATTAAGTTCTTTCATATACAATGACCAAAAGCCACATACCATTGGTTCAAAACCCAAACTCTAAAATACGTTACATTAGAATATCATACATAGATCACACACCTTGCATCACACATTTTGGCCTCCAAGAATCACAACCACGTTCCTTTGAGCTAAGTTGTGTCAATTAATTTTCTTTTATTGGTCTAAACTAGGTTCTTTTATACCTTTTCATGTTATGAATAACTTACATTGAAATAACATCTTTAATGTAGAAAGATATCCAAAGAAGCTTCACAGATGCATGATGAAAATGCACTAAAGAACTGAAAAGGATTAATTGGAAGTGGTCAACAAAACTCAACTGAATGGTGGAGTTTAAAAGAATTGAGGGAAGTGGGCACATAACATAATTGAAGAATAGAATTTCAGAACTGGGTGGCTGAAGTTATACTGTCATTGATTGAGTAAAAATGGGAGGAAATTCTAGTTTACAGCTGATAGCTAATTATAACATTACAAAGACATCAGGATGGGTACATGAATAGGAAGGGTTCAGAGGGATCTGGGCCAAATGCTGGCACATGGGACTTGATTAATTTAGGATATCAGGTCAGCATGGAAGAGTTGGACGAAAGGGTCTGTTTTTGTGCTGCACAACTTTATGACTCTATGACTCTAAGCAACTAACAGGATTCTGGAATATTGCTAAGCTTGATATCAGGACAGGAATCATCTGTAATAGTGCTATTGCTACATCCTGAAATACCCAGTAACAGCTGCCAGTATGTTTCATGCATCTCAATATGTTTATTCAATTTGATAATTCACCACTACTTTATTCCATTGACGTTATAATAAATAGTTGGCAAAGTTACCAAAAATATTTAGAGTCTGGATTGTATTGATTAAGAAACTGGAAATTGACGCACATCATTTTTTACGAACAAAATTGCAACATTATGTGATATGTTTGGACGCATAGTTAATAAGTGGTAAGAGTATGAATGAAACTAAGTGAGTGGAATGCAGTGATTGTGATCAGATTACATCATTGTTCTATGATATGTTCTATTGTTTTGCATGACCCAATGTATATAAACGTTGAAAAGAAACAAATAACAGGCAGAGAGAAAATAGGAGTATACAAAAAGGAGCATGAGGAGGATATTTGGGATCGCAAGCCTCCTCCATCATTTGTGGCTAATTTGATTATGGCCTCAACTCTATTTTTCTGTCTACAAACTTTCATCTTCGATTCCCATCTCAAACTAGACTGTATTTAATTTAGGCTTTAAAATATTCAATGATCTTGTTTTCACTGCCCGTTGGGAAAGAGACTACAACCCTCTGACAAAATGCATAATTTCCTCATCCCTCTTCTTCGTAGGCGATCCTGTATTTAAAAATTGAGCCCTTAAGTTCCAGTGTCTCCCAAAAGGAGAAACATCCTCCATACTATTGAACACCCTCAGCACCTTATATGTTTCAATAAGATTGCCTTTTGAAGAATGGATTAGAAGTGTCAATTACACTGGTAAAGCAAATAAAATGGACCAGATCTTCTACTGTTCTGGCAAATATTGAGGTGATCTCTGGAATGATTAGGGTGTGATTTGTTATTCTGAACATTGGGTGTTAACTTGAAATTCTCATGAGTCAGATTCAGGCAATCCATGTGTAAGTTCTTCCATTCCACAATTTCAGAGAACAGTAAGTGCCTTGCATCAAAGCTGAATTAAGATTTTGCAATTCATAACTTTTTGCTTTGAAATAATAGCTGTAAGTGTCTCCAAATTCCATGGATTTATTGTATCTGTTGACTTGCATTTAAAAGAAAGAAATTATTTCGTTGAGTGTGTAAAGGTTAGTGTTAAAGTGACGTACAAAATCTGATTACACTTCGGGTCATTGTCATGTGTAATGAACAATTAGTTGTTTATATCATATTAAGAACTAATGTATGATTGCATTACTTGTCCAAATTCTTGTTATCATCATTTCTTTCTCATGCCTTAACAAGTACTATTAGCTTTGAAATTAATTTTGTAAATATTATAATGGAATTTCCCTTTGCAAACAACCGCTGATTTGCTATGAGCCCAGAAGTTGATTTTAGAAGACGGTAGCAACAGGCTCTGGTCACTAGATGTTGCTCATGTCCAACTCTATTCACCATCACAATTGAAGTAAAATCCTGCAGATGTTGGAAATCTGAAATAAAACCAAAAAAATTGCCAGAAATACTCAGAGTCTAAGGGGAGAGAACAACAAAATTCATATTTCAAGTTGAAGCCAGTTCTCTCCACTTTCTTGATCTACTGCCCTGGTAATTTTTCAAATCTTTTGACTTTTTGTTCATATTTTTAAATGTATGTTTTCAATTGGCCAATTATCCTGACTTCAAGTTTAACTCCTGTCTTAGACTATCTTTTTAATCTGCATGCAAAGTCTACTTAATTTATATAGTAACTGCTACATATTTTATTTCATTTACACATTGTGGAGAAACTTTTTTTTATTTCATGAATTCATTTTAATGAAATCATCTTCAATATATATCTGAGCGTCTGATTTAATTTGTACATTTTAGCAGATGCATATTTTATTTCTTTATATTATTTAATAAATACAACAGAATTCATCTTGAATGGATTGAGGATTCCTTTTCACACAGAGGATGGTCGAGTATGGAACAAGCTGCCAGAAGAAGTGGTGGAGGCTGGTATAATTATAACATTTAAAAGGCTTCTGGATAGGTATATGAATAGGAAGGGTTTAGAGGGATATGGGCCAAATGCTGGCAAATGGCACTAAAGTTATATAGAGTACCTGGTCGGCATGGATGAGTTGGACTGAAAGGTCTGTTTCCATTCTATACATCTCTATGACTCTATGACTGTAGCAGTTAATCGTTGTCAGAGACGATGAACCCCATCTTCCAAACTTTTACATTACTAGACCAGGAACATAACCATTACAGTTCTGCAACTCTGTAAAATTCAGTACCAGGAAAATCAAACTCATGAAATTGATTGTATTAGTATGTTAGTAATTCATCTATGAATCAATCTGCTCAATTTAGGATTCATACAAGTCATTTCAAATTCTCTGTAATTATTTTTTTTTAAAGAGCGATCACGATGTAATAATTTTAATTTGAATAGCTCCTTTAACATAGTGAAATGTCCCAAGTCATTTTCTGAAAGCACCATAAGGTACAGGAAACTGCAAATGCTGTTTGCCATCATATCATTACTTATAAGTGTTAGCTGAAACACCCTCCTTTGGTGTAACTCTATTCTTTTGCTTGGGTAACAATTGTAGAAGAAAATATAACCCCGATCATATTAGGTTTTGACATCCAACTTAATTGTCACAGTAGGAATACAATTGTCACTGTATTCTGAGTTTGCCACACTCTCATCCTGTCCTGCCACCTATGCACATATGTATTCAGGTCCCTCTGCTCCTTCACCCTTTTAGAGATATACCCTTTACTTTTTAAGGCCTCAGGTTTTTTTTCAATTGGTGCAGGTAGGCCCAAAGACATTTGCTGTGTTTTTCCACAAGGAAATTTGGGAAAAGGCAGAGTTGTAAGAGGCAATGTTTCCGGCTATTCAATGTCTTGTCACAATCATTTCTTTTTAACCAGCACACTTTCTCTTGGAACCAGTTGAGCCAGGAAAATTAAGACCTGTATCATTGTTTATAAGTGTTACCTGGCATATACTTCATTAAGTGTAACTTTGTTCCTTTGCTTAGGCCACTGATAAAGGAGAAGGTAAAGTGGATTTCAATATAGTCTTTAATGTCCAGGAAACTGTGTGTGCCGTAAATTCTGGATTGGATCCAGCAAGTTGCTCATTGATACCTCCCCCGGATGCTGTGAGTATTACAATACTAGCCATTTATCACTCTGTTCTAATTAAACCTTAAAATGGCGTAATGACCTATCATGCAACGTTTGAAATTTAGTCCTCCATTGACTGATACTTCGCGTTGACGCCCCCACCCACTTGTGAGTTAGCATTACAGAGAGAGCTTTGGAAGGCTCTGCTATTAACATGGAACAAAGTTGGGTCAGTGATAGGACAATAGTATAATAAACTACAGCATTAATTTTGTTGCAGTATGAACCTCTTCCATTATCCAGCTGAATGGTTCTACCTTCAATCAATACTTTCTTGCCTACCCATTAGCAGCTGTGCCAATGACAGTAATGGTTTCACTTCCCATTTCTAAATAGCTACCATTAGAACACATCCTCTGTTTGCACCTCTTCCTCATTTACATTGTATTTTAAGAATTGTGCCACAAGAAACAGACTTGAACAAAGGGACACTATCTTATACAGTATGAAAAGAGGGTGTTGATTTTTTTGGGGCATCCCTGGCAAGGAGATACAGAAATAACAGTTACCTGTCAATCTTAATTCTCAGGCAAGGCAGCTAGATTCTGATAGGTCAGTGCACTGCCATGGGAATGCAGCAGACATTAGCTGTCTCCATGACCAATTTTTTGAAGAAGGTGCAATATTAATACAGATTAATTTCGCCTTCATAAAACAGAGTCCTGTGCATTAATGTATGTAGTGTTTAGCCGATGTGAATGCATCACACTGCACACCAAGCTGATAATCTTAAATTAGTTTCCAGTGTACCTCCGACCATGTCTGGATTGTTTCATAAATGATTTCCAATGGCAGAATCACATCAAATGATAGATAAACTTTTCTGCGACTTGCAAAAGTGGACTGCTTGAGGACAAGCAGCCTATTGTCTACTGCAAATGGTTGTCAAGGCACGTTGTTTGACTTGGAGCAAAATGGTGCAGAGAAGTGATATCACCTTGACTGTATTAGAAGAATCTGGATCAATATTAGAAGTGCAAAGGAGAAGTGAAAAAGGAAATACAAGAGGCAAAGGGACAACACAAGATTAGACTGGTGGTCTACGCAAAGGGAATTCAAAGATCTTCTATAGGGCGATAGATCGTGAAAGGATTGATTAGGGACCAAAATGATGTTCTTTTGAGGGAGACAGAAATCCAAGACTGAGATATTCAATGAATACATTGCACCAGTATTTACCAAGAAGGAAACTCGTTAAGGTTACATCAAACAAGGAGGTTTTCATTATGCCGGCTGACATTGATAAAGGGGAAAAACGAGAAAGGCTGGCAGTAATTAATGTGGATTAACTATCTCCTCATCTGCAGTCATTGAAAGAAGAGGAAATTGTTCCCTGACCACAGTGATAGTGTCTGAAGGGCTGGAGCATTCCAAGTGGTATAGCTTTTGTCAAGATCAGGGAGAAAGATGAACCTGGTAATGACAACTCAGATATGTGACCATCACAGTGGACTCCACTTTGGGGTTAATGAACGCCTCATGACTGTCTGGCTCACCCTAACACAGAAGTAGTGCACCACCATCATCGTTATTCGTGCTCCATCTCTGGATTGAGACCAAAGAGGTATTCTACCTCAGCCTTCATCAGTCATTGTGCTGTATCCAAGAGGCAGACAAGCTGCTATTCCTCTGAAATTTTAATATCTGCGTTAGGAGCGACACAAACCTCTGGAAATGTGTGATTGGCAAGGAAGGCATGGGGAAGGCAAACACTATTGGACCCCTGTTCCTCCTCCTGACAAAATCCTATGTGCATGACCTGGTCAAAGTGAGCCCCTGTTTCATCAAAGGGAATACAAGAACTATGAGACTTCATCACAGCAGCCTCACACAACAGCTCCAATATCAGTATCCTCCACCACACCAATATCTTCAGTATCAAGGTCCTGATTGCTATCATCATGGTAATCACTCAGATACTTTTCACAGCATGCAGGACTTGAGTTGGTCTTTTCTGCCATGATTGTGTTATGAGAATGGAATCTTCAAGCTAAATCCTGTGGACTGAATCTTTTTTGATCCAACCCCCCACCCTGCTCACCCAAACCCAAATTGTCAGCATTTCCTGACAAAACATTTCCAAAAAAAGCCCTATACCCCAAATGCCATCAATGCAATTAGTTACCAGGAGGGCAGAGAAAATGCTTCAAAGATGTCTTCTCAATCTGCCTGAGAAGATCCAATATCCTCACTGACCCATGGGAATCTCTTGCCCCAGACTGTACAAACTGGAGAAGAAACACCCACGAATGTGCCAATCATCCTGAGTATCTTCAAGATATCCAGGTAGAGCCAAGCACCTACACCAAATAGGGCATGCAAAAACCATCAAGCATCCCACCAACCTCTTCAAGCATTAAGTAGCGTTTATTACTCGCACCCAATTGCATAAGGGTAGTTAAGGGTCAACAACATTGTTGTGATTCTGGAGTCATATGTAGGCCACATTTCCTTCTCTCATGAACACAAGTGAACGAGATGTGTTTTTCCAACAATCAGCAATAGTTTCAAGGTCATCATTAGACAACTTTTTATTCCAGATTTTTATTGGATTCAAGCGCAATTCAAATGGCATGGCAAGACTCAAGCTGAGCACTCTGGATTAATAGTCTAGTGATAATGCCATTAAGCCTTCACCTGCCCCACCTGTGGCATGGTTTGTCGATCCAGTGTTGCATTGTTTAGATAACTCAGGACCCATTATCTGGAGTGGTAAAAGCAAACAATTATCAGACCAGAGGGACTGCCCATGAAGTAGACCAGTGCAATTGTTTTAGAGGATGTTTGGAAGTAAATACAACTGAACTGTGCATGGATTGGAGACCACGAGACTTGGAAGAAAGG